CAAGTGTAGTTTCTTAAAAGTTCACTGCAGACAGCACTGCCACTTTGGAAAACAGTCATGCAATTCCCCAAAAAGTTAAACATAGAGTTAATATCTACTCAACAATTCCACTCCTAGATATATACCCAAGAGAAATGAAAACCTGTCCACACAAAAGTTTGTAAACAAATGTCCATAAGGGCACTATTCATAACAGTCAAAAGGTGGAAACAACCCAAATGTCCCTCAACAATGAATGGATAAACAAAATGTGGCAGATGCATACAAAACATTACGCTAAGTGAAAAAGCCAGTCACAAAAGACCACGCATTATAATTTCATTTATATGAAATATCCAGAATAGATAAAACTATAGAAACACAAAGTAGATTAGTGATAGCTTAGGGCTGAGGGACAAAGGATTGTTTCTTGCTCATGCTACAAGTCTGATGTGGGTGAGCCGAGGTGTTCTGCTCAGCCGTCTCTCAGGCTGAAGGAAGCTCCCCCTTGACACTTCATGTAGGCCTCCCCGATCACTGCGGTAGGGGAACAGAACAAGCACCACCCAAAGCTTGTGCCTGGAAGTGACAGTTTACATTGTATTAGCCAAAGCAGGCCACAGGCCACTCCTACCTTCAAAGAGGGTGGGAGTTGATCCCACCACGTGCACAGATGAGGACGAAGCCCTTGTGAACAACCCTGATGACTACCACAGGAGGTCAGGCAGAAGACGTAAGTGACTGGAGTGGCCCAGTGGAGATAGCAGATCCCAGATCTAAAGGACGCAGCTCGGCTCAGTGCCCCTTGACTGCTGCCAGACCAGAATGCAGACCTACTGCTCACAGATCTCCTGGGACTTTGAGAGAAGCTAGAAGAAAGCATTTGTATGAAATCTCATACATTTTTAATCCCATTTTTAAAAAACACTGTGCAAGCAAAACCTAATACTGCATTACGCCTGTTTCATTTTTATCACAAAGCGTATGAATTAAGAGTGAGGGCTTTAGGCCGGGCGCGGTGGCTCACGCCTGTAATCCTAGCACTCTGGGAGGCCGAGGCGGGCGGATTGTTTGCGCTCAGGAGTTCGAAACCAGCCTGAGCAAGAGCGAGACCCCGTCTCTACTAAAAATAGAAAGAAATGATCTGGACAACTAATAATATATATAGAGAGAAAAAATTAGCCGGGCATGGCGGTGCATGCCTGTAGTCCCAGCTACTCGGGAGGCTGAGGCAGGAGGATTGCTTGAGCCCAGGAGTTTGAGGTTGCTGTGAGCTAGGCTGACGCCACGGCACTCTAGCCAGGGCAACAGAGCCAGACTCTGTCTCAAAAAAAAAAAAAAAAAAGAATGAGGGCTTTAAAATCAGGGGGACCTGAATCCATTCCCCAACCTGAGCCTTCAAAAAGGAACAATACCCCTAACCACAAAGAATTCCTACAAAGTGACAAAAAGACACCCAACAATAAAATGGTCAAAGAAAACGATAAACCAATATAAAGAGCTGAACGGTCAAATTACCAAAAACCAGTAAGATGTTCAACTTCACCGACAGGGAAATGTAAAGCAAAATAATAATGACTAAGAATAAATCTGTCAACTATCTGAAGAGAGTATTTAAGGGTTACTGAAGGACACAAAAGAAAGCAAGATGTGGAGGCAGAAGACAGTGATACTGATGATCCTGGATTTATGCAGGACTACGCTAATGGGCGTGTTTGTGTCTTAGTTTTTAACAAAAAAGTTGAAATAGAAAAAAATTTTTTTAAATAGAAAAACGCTCATAGAATACAGATATAAAAAATATTTTTGTACAGCTGTACAATGTGTTTGTGTTTTAAACTGGGTGTGAAACAGTCAAAAAGTTTTTAAAAAAATTTAAAAGTTTGACCTGAAGAACTAATAGTTAGCCTGACCTGAAATGACAAAAAACACTCAACCATTGAGGAGATCCTGGAACAGAATCTAGAGATCTATCTGAGAATGATACATGGGGAAAGAACATGATCCCATCTTTTTAAAGATGATCACCCCTACTGTTGGATACAGAATTAAAATAAGAAAGAGGCTAGGTGCAGTGGCCCACACCTATAATCCTAGCACTTTGGGAGGCCGAGGCCGGAGGATCACTTGAGGCCAGGGAAGCTCGAGACCAGTCTGAGCAAGAACGAGACCCTGTCTCTACAAAAAATAGAAAAGATAACCAGGCATGGTGGCGCACACCTGTAGTCCCAGCTACTTGGGAGGCTGAGGCAGGAAGATCGCTAGAGCCCAGGAGTTTGAGGTTGCTGTGAGCTATAATGACAACACTGCACTCTAGCCTGGGCAACAGAGTGAGCCCCTCCCTATCTCAAAAAACAAACAAACAAAAGACAAGAAAGGAAGCAGAGGGCTGTTGCTGGGCTACTGTAATAGTCCAGACAAAAGATGCCAGTGGCTTGGCCTAGGATGGCAGTGGTGACAACTAGGACAAATGAACAGATTCAGGATACGCTGTGGAGGCAGAGCCAATGTTTTAGATGTAGGGAGTGAGAGAACGAAAAGAATGAAGTATCTGTGGCTTGAAATACCTGGTGAACAGTAATGCCACTTAGTGAGACTGGGAAGACTAGAGGAGGAACAAGTGTTGTTAGAGGAGAATCAAGAGTTGCTTTTGGCCAAGCACGAACACAACCAACATCAAGTAGAAACTAGAACGGTGAATGCCAGGGGCTGGGGGAAAGGAGGAATAAGGAATAATGTTTAATGAGTATAAAGTTTTAATTTTTACAAGATGAAGAGTTATGGAGATGGACGGAGGTGATTGACAATGTTACGAATGCATTTAATACCATCTAACTACACACTTTAAAATGGTTAAGATAGTAAATTTTATGTTGTATTTTGCCACAATAAAAAAAATTGGGGGGCCGGGCACAGTGGCTGACTCCTGTAATCCTAGCACTCTGGGAGGCTGAGGCGGGTGGATCGCTCGAGGTCAGGAGTTCGAGACCAGCCTGAACAAGAGCGAGACCCTGTCTCTACTAAAAATAGACAGAAATTATTTGGACAACTAAAAATCTATATATATATAAAAAAAAAAAATTAGCCAGGCATGGTGGCGCATGTCTGTAGTCCCAGCTACTCGGGAGGCTGAGGCAGGAGGATGGCTCGAGACCAAGAGTTTGAGGTTGCTGTGAGCTAGGCTGACGCCACGGCACTCTAGCCTGGGCAACAGAGTGAGACTCTGTCTCAAAAAAAAAAAAAAAAAAAAAATTGGGGGGAAAAAAGACATCAAGTAGACAATCGGATGAATTTGGGGGGGTTCTGGGCAGGCCTAGACTGGGGTATCAACAGCACACAGCTGGTATTTAAACACTGGCCCCAGAAATCACCAGGTCCAGTAGAGAGGAAGGCAGAGGACTGAGGCCAGGTGCACAACACCATTCAGGGCTCCACCAGACAGAGAAGGGAGGGACAACATGTGACTGTAAGGAAGTGTCTGTGATGTGGCAGAAAACACAAGTCAGAAGCCAGGTAATTCACATGATCACCCACGACACATCCTAGCAAATGAAAGAGCCTTTCAACACTCGGCCTCTCTGTCTGCCTAAGGCGGAAAGTGGGATATAATTCCCTATCTTCCTTTTTCATAGCCCCCCTGCCAACCCGCTACAATTAGAGTGATCATACAGTTTTATTCGTGCTTGATTCATTTATATATTTACAAACTTGACCCTTGTGAGTGAAGAGGGAGCTTTTAATAACTAATAACTACATCTGGACAACAGCACAGCTCAGGGCTAGCCCGGGTGCACCCTGGGGTATGCTTATCCTTTGGAAAAACCCAAGCGCCCTAGTTGAAGTTCTAAACAAGCTTATTAACGGTTTGGGTAACATTTCTCACCAAAACTCCCTGCCGTTTCTCCCAGAAATTCTCACGTGGAAGAAAAGCGATGCGGGTGGGGAAGAGATGAAAAGAAAATTCGACCCAACGAAGTAATGCCAATAAAGGGAACTCTGTGGGTCCTGTTGAGTCACCCAGGAGGACCACAGAGTCCCCAAATTAAACGAAAGGCAACCACGCCAGCGTTGGCTTCGCGTCTTGGCCAGTCTTCTGGCTGAGCTGTTTCGATCTCTTCCGATCTTGGGCTCCCGCGCTGCAATACAGGGACACCCACCTCTCCCAGAACCGCCGCGAGGATCAAGTGAGAAAATCCACGCCCCCTCTTAGCACCGGACCTGGCAGGTGAAAAGCACGGCGGCGCTAATAAAGGCAATAACTACGGCTGAAGGAACCGCGGCACAAGGTTCGGATCCCAACTCTGCGCTGGCCTAGGGACGCCGTCCCGCCCCAGGGAGCAGCGACACCGGCAGGACCCCTCGCCGGTCCCGAGACCTGGACAGGAATGCCCACCCCTCCCGACCCTCGGACGCACAGGCGGCGCCGCTGCAGAAGCCGGGCGGCCGGAGACAACACGGGGAGGGAAGGAAGGAGAGCAGGCGAGCGGCCACTGACCTGTTTGAAGGTGCTGCTGAGGAAGTAGACGAGCGACAGCCCGAAGACCAGGGCGAGCACCCACCTCTTCCGTAGGAGCCGGCGCCACACCATGGCCGCCAGGTTCACCATCACGGCGCGGACGTGGGGCGCGGCAGCCGGGGCGCGGAACGCGGCAGGCCCGGGGCCCGGGCGGCATGGCCCCTACGCGCCCGGCAGCCCCATCCCTCGCGGCGGCCACCGGCCCCGCGGCCCGCCGGCCCGGAGGCCCAGTCAGCTCCAGACAGCCACCCCCGCGCCGGCGCGCGCCGCACCACGTGACCCCACCCCGCGGTCCGCCTCCGCTCTGCTCGCTCGTCACCGGCTGGCCCCGCAAGATCTCTTCGCCATTGGTCCCTGCGGAGCTGCTGGCTTCCTATTGGCTGAAATCCGAGAAAGGGGGCGGGCAATCCTGTGAGCACGGCGGGAGTAGCTATTCCCGGGTCCTAGCGCCGGGCCTGGCAACGATGAGCACCTACCTTACTAAAGGCCGGAAGCAAAGGAAGTCACGTGCTTCCCGGGCCGCGCGAGTGATTGGCTTGACTGGACGTGAATGATGCGGCTGTGATTGCTGAATTGTCTGGGCAGGTAAAAAAGAGAAGGCGATTTTTTTTTTTCTCCCAGCATAGTCTATGTAGTCGCCTGCCCTTGCGGTCTCAGGGCGTTTGCGCGGTGTCGGTTGCGGGAATGGAAAGAGCGGGCGACATTGTGTCCGGAGCGCACCTGCGTCCGGTCCGAGTGATGCAGAAGATGCTCAGCTGCGCGCATCCCGGCGCGGTCCTGGAACGGCCGCCGCGCGCAACTCAGAACAGCGCGAGCCGCGGAAAAGTCTCGGTGTGGTCCGTCGTAGGGAGGTAGTGGGATGTACAGCGCAGGGGATTAAAGGCGGTGCATTCATTCATTCAGATTATTCTAGAATTCGCTGTTGGAATGATTATGTAGGGCCTGCTTCCAACAGAGAACGTGAAGCCCCTTCGAAAGCAAGCATCCGAAAGTAGAGTCTTGAGCATTTGATTTAGGAGGCTCCGTCAGCTTTGTGGATGGAGACTTTGGGATACTGTGTTTTATTTTCCTCAAGGATTTGCAAGTGATGGGGGATATGGAAGGGGGGCATTAAGCTGAGGTTGCAAGTTCTTGAACAATGTTTATGTAATGCGCTTTTCTTCCTGTATGAAGATGGGGCTGCTGACCCATTTCTTAGCTTATTTTTCAAAAGAGAAAGGAGGCTTAACGGATGGGTCGTCTTTCTAATCAGTGACCCGAGTGACACCAACGTTGCCCCCTCACGAAGGCTGGTCGGGATTAGAAAGTCATTCAACAGCCAGTTATAGTGCCCTGAACGAAGAGTCAGACATCATCTTTGGTTCTGAAACAAGGAAATATTAGTGGAGGCTAAACCTATTCATGGAAAGCATATGGGCCTTAGTTCTTTCCTAGGGTGAAAGGTGGGCAGGGAGCAAGGGATCTAGAAGATAGTAACTGGGAGACCCATTGATGTTAAGTGCTATGAAGAATATAAAACATGGCAATGTTATGGCGGGGGAGGGGTCAGGAAAATGAGAAGAGAAGGCCTCTGGGAGGACGTGCCATTTGACCTAGGGAGCTAACCATGCAACCTTCAGAGGAGAAAGCATTCCAGAGAGAGGAAAGAGAAAGTACAAAGGCCCTGAGGCAGGGACAAGCTGACATATTACATGAACAGAAACACCTGTGCAGGTAGGTGGAGGGGCAGGGTAGGAGAGTGGAAGGAAATGAAGTTGGAAACAGGTGAGGCTACATCAGGGCGAACCTGTAGGCTGTGACTGAGCTTGGGTCTCATTCTGATTGCAATGGGAAGCTGCTGGAGGGTCTAAAACACATTTTCTGTTTTCCCCAATTAGGACTGAGTTTGACGATAGGACAAAATACATTAAGTGTCCCAAAGAGGGATCGATGAGAAGCTACCCAGAGATATTGAGCAGATGGAATCATCTGCTTATAGCTACCAATGATGTCCTAACACTTACTGTCAGATCCAAGGCATCCCATGGATTATTCACCCACGTGTTCTGCTCCATCCAGGTTTGGAATCTCTGGGAAGCTCCCCTGACCTGTGCATCCCTCTGGAGAGGAAGAGGAGGGGGAGGCCTGCTCTCTCTGGGAACCAGCGGTCACATCCCCATCAGGAGCCCAAATGCCCAGCTCAGGCGTTGTCAACATGGAGTTCTGAAGTCCATGTGGCTCTTCACAGTGAATCAGGTGACATGTCTGCGAGAGAATTCACGTCTTTATTACCAGTTTATTCACTGTGAGGGCTGGAAGGGAGCTTTGGGTTTGTCCACTCCACCCCCTCCCATGTAACAGATGGGGGATCTGAAGCCACAGAGAGGTTACTGATTTGTCTAGGGTCACACAGCAAGTTAGGGGCAGCATCAGTGCAGAATCCATGCCTCCCAACTGCCAGGCTGCTGCTCACTTCACCTCATCCAACACCCCTTTGCTGCACAATTCATGGCTTTGTCCTCCCATGTAAGGCCTTCTTCCACCTCTGGGTCTCATCCTTCTCATCTGGGAAATGGGCTGATAACAAGTTTCCTCCTGGGATGGAATGTTGAATTGAGGATTGAGTGGCATAAAAGATTGAAACATGGCTTGGAGCACGTCAGAGAGTGTGAGGAGTGTAAGACACGAGGAGTATTTTACAGTTACCTTGGCAATCTGACAGGCAATGGGAGTGTCGGGAGACGGTGACTCACCCCTGTGTTGGGTTTCAGGTGTTAAGGAAAATGCAGAGACGCCACAGCAGCAACACGGATAACATTCCACCTGAAAGGTAGGCATGCCCTGCTTTTATTCTGTCTGAGGGCTCTGGGCTTCGGGTGGTGAGGGGTAACCCAAGACTGGATGAATAAAAGCTACCTCTCAGAGTTAGAGTCCCAGTGACGTCCTTATGCTGCACACTCACTGCATAATAGCTTGCTCTTTTATGGTAATTCTCAATGTGTGTGTGTCAGGTGAGCCACTTGACTCGTTGTAGCAATGATTGTACCTGTGGGATTTTAAGTTATAGAGGTGTCTTAATCTGTTTGGGCTGCTAACAAAAATGCCATGGACTGGGTAGTTTAAACAACAAACATTTATTTTGTACACTTCCGGAGGCTGGGAAGACCAAGGTCAAGGCCCCAGCATGTTCAGTGTCTGGTAAAGGCCGACTTTCAGGTTCACAGATGGCCGTTTTCTTGCTGTGTCCTTGCATGGTAAAGGGATGAGGGGTCACTCTGGGGTCTCTTTTATAAGGACACTAATCCCATTCATGAGGACTCCACCTCCATGACCTAACGACTCCCCTAAGGCCCCACCTCCCAATACCATCACATCCGGGGTTAGGTTTCAACATGTGGCTCAATTAAGGGCCATATACTTCCCACGAGTAGGGACACAAACATTCAGACCATAACGCTGAGGAACACCACAGAGGGGACAGTGACATTGGAAGACGATTTTTATTGCTTCCATTTCCCAGGAGGAGGAGACACACCACACCACACCACGCAGGGCCATGTGGGGAAGCACCAGCATTGACCAGGAGGCAGAAAGGAGCAAGAAAAAGCACAGGCCACAGGCTTTATTGCATTTTCCTCGGGAAAGAGAAGGCAGGCCAGGGGAACAGCTTAGGCTTGGCTGGTTTGAACAACGTCAGTGGGCTCTGGGGTATCGGGGTGGTCTATAGCTGTTTGGTATCTGGCCCGGGGTGATTTAGGGCAGGTGAAATGTTGGCTGCACGTGTGAAAGTCAGATAGCGGAGGTGGTTGGGGTTATGGGCCCCGGATCACAGGGGAGATATGAACAGCTAGTTTGACCATGTGATTAATGGGTGCCAAATAGGCAAGTACTGAATCTAAAAAAATCATGGTTAAATCACTCATGAGCTAGAGTTTCTATCTATTTAAATCCAGGAGAGTATGCACGTGGGGCCTGTTCTCAGGTTGGGACAGTCTCCAGAGCCCTCTGAGCGAGCACATCCATCAAGGGGGAGGCCGCCGAACTTTTCCTCCCTCTCATCCCCCAACATCTGTGCTTTGAGCACCACATTTTGGCCCCCTCCTCTCTGGGCAGATCCACTAATCCTCCTGGGTTGCCTTAAGCTCTAGCCCTTAAGTAGTTAAGTTGGAACCTCAGCCTCTGTCCCTCTAAGGAATATCCTTTCCCGTTTAGGCCGAAATCTCGGCTGGATGCAGGGGAGAGGCCCAGGGAAGGGAGGCCAGCTATAAAAAGCCCCTTGGTGGGTTGAGGCTTCACTGGTTGTACTGGAGGCCCCCTGGGCCCAGTGAACTCAGAGTGCTGGAAACCTCCAGGGGCAGAGGAGGGCTTTCTAGGGCCCCGTGGGCAGCAGCAGAGAGAAACTGGCCTCCTCGTGGGCCAACGTGGGCAGCTGCCAGGACTCCTGCTTTCTGAGCTGAGCTTCTTGAAGTGCAGAAAAAGCTGAAAGATCCCTTGAGGTTCATAGCCATGGTGTTTGTTGTTGTTGTCATTATTAATACTATCACTATTGTTATCCAGAGCCCAAGAGAGGAGGACCACACATTTCCTGGGCTTTGGGAGCCAGCAGGGATGGGGCGTGGTGGGGAGGGAAAGGATGTAGCCATCTTCGGTTCAGTCCTTGCACCAGGTTTATAACGTACCTCCAGATCCAGTTTGGGAAGCCAGAGACCCCAACCCCGAGACCTCTCCAGCCCAGCATGTCCCCGTGCTGGGTTTCACAGGTGTTCCATAGAGAAAAAGAATTCCATGGGCTAAATTTTAAGTTTGGGAAACAGCAGGTTCAAACAAAGTTAGTTTTTTTCAGTTGCAATTTTTTTCTCAGAGCCCCTAGTGTGCTCGTTCATTCGTTCCTTCAAACACTAGTTATGGGGCATGTTCTTTGTGCCTGGTGCATCGTGCTGGGTGGTAGAGACGCAGTCGGGGTCTTTGACGTCGTGGAGCAGGGCCCAGTCTAAAGCTTTGGGTTTGCAGCACCGACTGCATGCTAGAATCACCGGGGGACGCTGGGGAGCTTGAGATGCTGGGGCCCACCCACAAAGGTTCTGATTCAGTGGGTCTCCAATGGGGTCAGGCACCCATCGTAGCTGGAATCTGATGGACGAGCGTACGTTGAGCAGGTGCGATGGGGCGGGGGTGTGGAGACATCGCGGTGACGGCGGCAGTCTATGGTAGAACCCCTTGAGTGGTGAGAAAGGGCACACGATGAGATTGGGGTTTGGGGCCAAATAATCCATGGCATGTGGCAATTTTATCTCTGGGCCTCGGTTTCTTTATCAGTAAGATGGGAACGGTATTGCACCTATCTGTAGGGTTTATCTGAGACTGCTGGAAGGAGTACAGCATGGAGAAGCCCTTGGAGGGCTTTGAGTGGGCGAGCGACATAATTGAATGCAGTCAGCCTTCCATATTCCCAGGGGATTGGTTCTAGAACCCCCACCCTCGGACACCCAAATGTGCAGATGCTCCAGTCCCTTATATAAAATGTCCAGTACGGTCGGCCCTCCATATCTGTGGGTTTTGATCCATGGACCCAAGGTTGGTTGAGTCCCGATAGGAAGGCCTGACTGTATATGTTTTAAAAAATATATCCTGGTCTCCAAGCAGATAATAGATTATACAGGATCAAGTGCGAAAGCAGTTTAAACCTCTCCGGAAGCCGCCCTCCTACTGCCATTTTGTGACCAGATGATATGTAGCATACGTTTATTGAGCACCTACTATGTGTCCTGAGTTGTGGGGTCCACAGGGTGAATGAAGGTCAGCCCTTGCTTTCAATAAGCACGTGATGTCTCTGGAGTCCCCTGGGGTCTGTGGAGGTACCTGCAGGGTGACAGAAGTAGGGAAGGCTCTTTGCCCTTCCTCCTCCTCCTCCCCAACACGTGCACATTGAGCAGATCAGCTCCACCCGTATCTGTGGTGTAGCCTGAGTTTCCGTGTAGTGATTCCATTTGAAAAGAGGATGAGCCCAAGAGAAGAAAGATGGCATTCAGAACTCTGGGTCACGGTGTTCATGGCAAACTGCATCCAATTCTGGGCTCTCCACTCCCAGAGGGGTAACTCTGGGCGCTCTGCTCCTCCAGCAGTAGCCACAAAAGAGCCACAGAATCCTTTGCCTGATTGCAACCCAAGAGATCCTTGCTTGGAACCAGAAAAAGCAGTTTGGCCCTGGAGGTCTTCCATACGAACTAGAGCTAATAGTTCCCTTGTATCGAGCACCTGTTATTGCAAAGGGTATTTTACTGTGATCCCCCCTCCCCAGGAATTCTAGGCAGGAATGGTACTTACACCCATTTTCCAGGTGAGAAAACTGAGTGCAGGGGTGGAAGGCCCCTAGAAAGGGCAGAGTTAGGGCTTGAATGTGGGCCTCTCAACTGTCTTCTTCCTGTAGCTTCTGCTTCTCACCAAATGCAAGCCATGACCGAGGCTGGCCCCTCTGGGGAACTGGGAGCCCTTGAACTTGAAGATTCCAGAGCCAGGGGTCCTTGGGTTTCCAAGGTTATTGTAGCATTATAGAATTCCATGCTCCCTTTTTAATGAAGTACAGTGGTTAGGAAAGCCGGCTCTAGAGCTAGCCTGCCTGGGTTCAAATCCCCCCTGCTCCATCCCTTGCCAGCTCTGCAGCTCTGGACAGGTTACTTTCTGTTGCCTCAGTTTCTTTATCCATAAGGCGAAGATATTAGTAGGGCCTAATTCCAGTTTGACAAGAGGAGTTGGTGAGTTAATCAACATAAAGCACTCAGAAAAGTATCTAACACGTAGTACGTTTTCCGTAAAGGTTATGACTCTGTTGCTATTATTATTTGCATTAGTTTGCTAGGGCTGCCGTAACAAGGTACCACAGACCCGGGGGCTTAAACAACAGAAATTTCCTTTCTTAAAGTTCTGGAGGCCAGAAGTCCAAGATCAAGGTGTCGGCAGGGTTGGTTCCTTGAGGGCCCTCTCCTTGGTTAGTAGGTGGCCGTCTTCCTTGGTCTCTAATGATCTTCCTGTACCTGTCTGCGGCCTGATCTCTTGCTGTAAGGACACCACTGCTGCTGGATTAGGGCCCTTTAGGGACGCCGTCTCTAGATAAGGTCACGTTCTGAGGTCCTGGGGGTTAGGGTTTGGGGAACAAAACAGTTGGGCCCATGACATTATTGACATTATTTGTCCCTCCTCCTCCACTGGGGTCCTGTCTTTGCAGCCACCTGACTTGGTGGGTTTCTCTTCCCGCGTCACCCAGAAACCGCAGCCAGGCGCTCAGCTCCGAGACGAGCGTGGATGAAGGCGGCGTCTTTGAGAGTCTGAAGGCAGAAGCGGTGTCCCCGCCCGCGCTCTTCTCCGGCCTAACCGGCAGCCTTCCCGCCAGCTCCTTCCCGTCCAGCCTGGTGCTGGGGTCCTCGGCCGGCGGCGGGGACCTGTTCATCCAGATGCCCGCGTCCAGGGAGGAAAGCGGGGGCCGGGGCGAGGGGGGCGCCTACCACCACCGCCAGCCCCACCACCACTTCCACCACGGCGCCCACCGCGGGAGCTCCCTGCTGCAGCACGTGGGCAGCGACCACCGCGGCCACGCAGAGGAAGGGGGTGACGACCAGCCAGGGACACCGGCCCCTGCCCTGTCCGAGCTGAAGGCCGTCATCTGCTGGCTCCAGAAAGGACTCCCCTTCATCCTGATCCTCTTGGCCAAAGTGTGCTTCCAGCATAAGCTCGGTGAGTCCCTGGGGACTGGGTGTCCTAGCCTGGGGCTTCACACATTGGCCCCTTGCTGCACGTGGGGGGCAGAGGTCAGGGGTGTCCTCATCTGAAACACCAGGGGAAGGCAGCAGAGGCCGTCCTGGTGCAAAGGGCTTCAGAGTATGGGATTCTGCGTCGGACCTGGGTTCCAATCCTAGCCAACTAAGCTGTGTGACTTTGGGCAAGTCACTTGGCTTCTCTGAGCTTGTTTTCTCATCCGTCCAGTGGGAGTTGTGAAGGAAACTTCCTCAGCTGGTGGGTTGATGTGTAAGAATTAAGAGCCCAGACTGCTTAGGTCTGAACCCCAGCTCTGTCCCTTCCTAGCTGTGTGATGCTGGGTATATTATTTAACCTCTCTGTGCCTCAGTTCCATCATCTGTTAAATGGGGGTTATGATAGTATATACTTCATGGGATCACAGTGACATTACATTTGAGTTACTGTATGTAAAGCACTTAGGACTGGGCCCGGCCAAGAGAAAACACTGTGCAAGTGTAGGTTGCTATTTTTATTCTACTCATTATTAACACACATTAAAATACTTAACATAGAGCCTGGCATGTAGCAAGTGCTCAATAAATGCTACCTATTGTTGTTACTATTGAGGAGTAAGATAATGATTGATAAAGTGCTTGGCCTAGTACCTGACACATACTTCACATTCAATTAATGGTCTCTGATATACTATTATTATTAGTACTATTGTTATGAGTGCATGTTGTTGCTGTGCCCTGCAGGCCTTATAGGCTATTGTTTTAGTCCTACAGTAGGAATGATGGTGAGAATTACCTCGCTGGCCTACTACTTCCCATAAGAAAATATCTTGAGGAGATTAGCCCAGCCTTTATTTCTTATTTTCTTCTCTCTGGCAAGTTCCAGCCGACTCAGATCACTCTGGCTTCCTTGCTGTGGCATTACCATATCAGCCCCGCCCTCTCTGTTTCTAGAAGTAGAAGCCGGCATGTCCCGTTTGTCCTGACTTCTGGCAAACTCAAAGCTAAGCTTTACTCTTGAGTGTGGTCATTTTTGTTTTAAGTTGGCAGGGTTTTTTTTTTAATCAAAAAGGAGACTAGAAGAAAAAGGATCGTGGGATTATTAGTTCTTATTTTATATGTTTTCGGTAAAATACATCTTTTACAAAGTAGATCTGGGAAAACACGTGGAATATGCATATATTGAAAGAGCAAGTGAACTTCGAGCACATCACGTGAAAACAGAATTCTGTCTACAAGTAACAAAAAACGGGACTTAATCATTATTCAGGGAGAATTCCAAGATTGTTGCTTGGCAAATAGTGGCAATTTAATGACTTGTGGTATAAAATTCGGTTCTGTTCTCCCATCTGCCTGGGTCATGTTTGCCTGTTTAGCTGGGATTTTTTTTCCCCCTTTAACATTAAACTTTAATTCCTTATGGTGTTGTACTTTTTTTCTGTGGATGCCTCCAATTCTTTTTGAAAGTAGAAATAATAAGAAGTGCCATTTGCCAACTGCTAGAGATTATGTTCTATAAGTATTACCCTTCCATGGGTAAGTACTGTTATTGCTCTGTCCATTTTACAGATGAGAAAACTGAGGCTCAGCAAGGTTCAGTGACTCGCCCAAGCCTACACAGAGAGGAGGCGGCAGAGCTGAGTTTTGAACCTTACCAGAGTGCACATCTCATGCTCCAAACCCGGGGCTGTCAAGTCTCCCCACGGTGGCCTAAATCCTATCCCCAAGTCAGAATGGCTCAGGGTTCACAGTGATTTACATGGCAGCCCAAATCCCCAAGAAGTGGGATTTTTCTCTCTCCTGTCAGCTCTGAGGGGACCAAGGATGTGTCTTTTTCCAGCCTTGCTCGTGGTCTTGGGCTGGGCCTGACGGATGAGTCTCAGTGGGTGACGTCAGGCCTTCCTCTGTCCCGCAGGCATCGCCGTGTGCATCGGGATGGCCAGCACCTTTGCCTACGCCAACTCCACGCTCCGCGAACAGGTCTCTCTGAAGGTGAGTCGCCTGGCAAACTGGTCTCCTGTGGCTGCTGCCACAAATGACCACAAACGTAGTGGCTTTAAACAGCACACATTTGTTACATGACAGTTCTGTGGGTCAGAAGTCTGAGGTGGGTGTCTCTGGGCTAAGATGAAGCTGTGGACAGGGCCGCGTTCCTGCCGGGGGCTCCAGGGGAGTCTCTGTCCTTGCCTTTTTCAGGGTCTAGAGGTCGCCCACATTCTTTGGCTCACGGCCGCTTCCTCCTGCATCAAGCCGGCAGCATTGTGTCCCTGCGACCACCCTTCCACAACGCAGCTGCCTCGTACTCTCCTCCTGCCTCCTCCCACTTTTGGGGTCCCCTGTGATGACACTGGGTGCAGCTGGATAACCCAGGAGCATCGCCCCGTCTCAGGGTCAGCTGATTCCAGCCCGAATTCCACCTGCACCCTTGATTCTCCCTTGCCGTGCGACCTAACAGGGTCACAGGTTCCGGGGATGAGGACGTGGGTTTCTCCGGGAGGCCATGCTTCTGCCTACCGCCCCTGGGCAGATCCCCGGATGTTCCATCCTTCTCCCCTGCCCTCCATACAGTCTGGCCCGTTTCTTCCAACAGCAGCATCTCCTCCACGTGCCCCCCGGCCTAATCCCTTTACCCTCCTGACACTCAGCCCGTCAGCTCACTTCCACCCCACCCTCATGCTTAAGGCCATCCCACTGATGCTGCTGGGTGGACATGTGGCTTCAACACTGTGCCCTGAACATCCTCCGTGTCTGCAGAGCCCTGGCTATGGGCCTGGCACCGTGCTGAGCCCATCGCATATCTCAGCAGATTCATGCCAGCAACCTGGGAGGGAGGCAAAATCACTATCTCATTTTCCCAGGGAGGAAAGAGTGGCTCAGAGACACTAAGTTCCCTGCCTGAAGTCACACAGCCAGTGCAAGTGGCGACGTCAGAATTTGAACCCCAGCAGTTAAGCCCAGAGCCTGTGCTCATTCCAGGTTCAAATCCCACCCACCTGCACGCCCTCGATTAGGTCACCTTGGTGATCTCAGCCTCAGATGCTACCTCTGGAGAAGGGACTAGTCATGCCAACTCACAGACCTGTTGAGAGGATTAAATGAGATAGTATGTAGAAGGTATTTAGCACAGGCTTGACATATAGAAGACATTTAATGGAGCAATTTTTTAAAAGCCTTTGCTTTCTACTGCACAGATGATGTCATAACAGTCACCATCTCCTCTGAGCCTTCGATAGCATCATCTGCTTTCGTAAAAGCACTTGGGCCTCCCTGTGGCATGGAGGGCAGCTCAGTCTTCATTTGCACAGGAGCACATGGAGGTCCAGAATTTGGGACGGAGCCAGAGGTTCTTCTTGACCCTTAGTCTCATCTTTTTTTTGTTCTTTGAATCAGAATCTTGCTGTGTCACCCAGGCTAGAGTGTGGTGGTGTCATCATAGCTCACTGCAACCTCAGACTCCTGGGCTCAAGTGATCCTCCTGCATCAGCCTTCTGACTAGCTGAGACTACAGACACGTGCCAGCACACCCAGCTAATTTTTCTATTTTTTTTTAGAGATGGGGTCTTGCTATGTTGCCCAGGCTATTCTCAAACTCCTGGCCTCAAGCGATCCTCCCACCTTGGCCTCCCAAAATGCTAGGATTATAAGTATGAGCCACTGACCCCAGCTTGTCTTCTTCATACAGTCTCCTTTCTGCTGCTATTAACTCAATACCATAGGGGAGGCGTTGGGGGCTAGGTCTGTCTCAAATGTAGTAGCATCCAGATGGTGCCTTGACTTGAATTTTTGGGGCTGAGAGGATATTTGGATCCGTGGACAGGCCTCCAGGGGCCCTTGAACCCTATGAGGGCACAGGTGACATTTTGCCTGTCTGCATATTTTCTGTGATGGCAGGTCTGCGTGACCCTCAGTAATCTTAGGAATCTCAGTTTATTACCTTTTGTCCTTCAGACTGTGTCTTCTCGGGGCACTGCTAAGTCCCACTTCGTATTCCACCTTTGGTTTGGATTTACAGAGAATTAAACTGGAATCTACTATTTATTGGGGTAAAAAGGGCTGCCGAGTGGATTAATCACATTGATAAGAGCAGTTGGTTGGAGGTGGTTTCTAGCGTCGTTAACCTTGACCGCTCCTGGAATAATGGGTGGATGGAGATGCATTTATTTCGTCCACTCTCTGAAAACGTGCGTCGTTAACAGTGCGTGGGGCCGTGAGCTGTGTCTGGAGACAGCGTGTCTTGAGCATTTACCGAAACCACAGGGAAGGTTGCACTGGGAAAGTTATGACCTCATCTTATTCCAGCAACGCAGCCGCTCCAGGTCCAGGAAAAGACGGGGTTTTGAGAGTCAACAGCAGAGGGCTCTGCGTTTGTCTCCCAGGGTGCGCAGGCACGAACGTGACCTTCTCTGCGCCTCTTCTGGACATTTCGTAGGGTCGCTGTCAGGCCGGGAAGCTGCTAGGAAACAGCAAACGGAGGAGGGTTTGCAGTTTGTCTTCCTGGGGACTGAAGAGGAGCAAGGCTGAGGAAAGAGAAGTGGGGCTGGGCTGCGAGGGGTTCCGACAGCCGTGTGTGCAAGTTTGGATTTAATCCCATCGATGTGACCTTCCATGGAACGGTCAGTCCAGGGCAGTGACTCAGAGGTCCATGCTAGAAAAAGTGAGAGCAGAAATTTCCAACCTCTAGATCTGAATCTACTGTTCAGAGTCGTAAACTGTTAATAATCTAGGTCCTACCCCTTATCAAGCCTGAAATATGAGCCCGTACCAGACTGAAAGTTTGCATTGAAAAATTTGACTTAATCTTAAATCTTAAAAGACAAATCTTAAATTTGACTTAACGCCACCCCCATTTTCGAACGAGGACATGGAGGCTTAAAACGCATGCCCTTGAACGAGAGTTACTTACCCTCTCTGTGCCTCACTTCCTGACAGCATCTTATGTGCTTTAATTCTCACAGCTCTGTAAGGTAGATACAAAGATACACCCATTTTACAGATGAGGAGAGGGAATTGCAAAGGGTTTAAGGAATTTGCCTGAGGTTGGACATCTCCACACAACAGACCGAGGATTTGAACTCAGGCCATCCAGCTCTGGAGTCCATGCTGCAAACCATGGTGCTCGCCAGCCTTTCCGGATAGTTCTCCAACCAGGTGTCCACTCTTCTGGTACCTTCTCTGTGACGACCCCTTGGGTCCCGGGGGATGGGAAGATGCCAGTGCCCTTCCCTTCACCTTCAGCACCGCTTCCTCCAAAACTTTGACAAAGTGAAACGTTGCCAATCATCAGGGAACATTCTGGAAGGGAACATTCTGGAAGGTTCTGCCGTGTGCACCTTTGGTATCACAGATCTCTTGCTTTGTCTCCAGGAGAAGAGGTCGGTGCTGGTCCTCTTGTGGATCTTGGCGTTTCTGGCAGGGAACACCCTGTATGTGCTTCACACATTCAGCTCCCAGCAGCTATACAACAGGTGAGCGGGGGCGTCTGACCCCCACAGTGGGACAGGGGGGCTTTGTGGGGCTCGGGGCACACACCCCTTCACTTGAGGACGACACCCCAGCTCTGTGTCACATTGTGACTTCCACATTCCACCCTGCTGTCATTACAGCCTAAACCCGCACTGTCTAATAGAAATATAATGCAAATCAGATATGTAAGTTGACATTTTCTAGTTGCCACGTGGAGAAAACTAAAAGGAAACAGGTGGAATCAATTTTAATAATAGCCTGGGCTGGAGCACAGTGGCATCGTCTTAGCTCACTGTGGCCTTGAACTCCTGGGCTCGAGCGATCCTCCCACCTCACCCTCCGAAGTAGCTGGGACGACAGGCACATGCCACGATGGCCAGCAATTTAGTCTCATTTTTCAAAAAGTGTTTGGAGATCACTGAATAGGAAAATGTTACCAGGACACACGCCTGTAGTCCCGGCTACTCAGTGGGCAGGAGGATCTCTTGAGCCCAGGAGTTTGATGCTGCGGTGAGTTATGATCTCGCCGCTGTGCTATAGCCTGGGGACAGATGAAGACACCATCTCTTTAAAAAAAAAAAGATAGAAAATGTTGCCAGAATGTTATGGCTGTGCATAAAACTATCAGGGCTGTTGGAGTTGAGGGAAGATTTTTTGTGGGTCGTTGGGTGGAGGGTTGGCCAGTGAGGACCTCTAGGACAGGGCTGAAACTCAAGTCAAGCTTTCAGATCACGTATATCTGTTTGGAAAATGGACTTTGAGGAGTGAGCAGTTTCACCACTTTCTAAGGCCATCTCATAAAAGCAATTTGGGGGTTTAGTTCCAAGGCATCAACACACGGCGCATACCCTGCAGTGGTTGCACGGTCCAGAATGTCAGGGTCCGGGTGGAGGGTGGAGGAGGCGGAGTTTCCTAGAACCTTGGCTGGATCTCCAGCTCATGCCATTTTCTGGGCATGTTCCCAGGCTCAGACCTCTGTGCCCCCATCAAAGCAGCCCTGAGTCAAACTGGCAGCTCAGAAGGAGAGAAAGAGAAAAGCAACAGAGCCGAGTCCTTGTCCTTACGGAAGTCACTGGTCTAGAGCATTTGTACGTGACACCAACCAACCATTATCTTAGTTTATCTTCCTAGCGACCCATTTCACAGGTGAGACAACTGAGGCCTTATGAAGCCCTCCCTAAGCAATCTTAGCCCCAGAGACAGCCCTTACCAGCGAGCTTGAATCTTAGAATTTGATGTCTGATGACCCACATCGGAGAGTCTTAATTCTGCCAGCTTTGTGCCCTTTGGCAGATAATGTAAACTCTTTGAATATTCCCGTTTTCTCATTTGTAAAACAAGGACCAAATCAGTTCTTGCTTTCTCTACCCAAATGGGTTAATTAGGAAGGCCAGTTGTCATAATACACATGAAAGTAAACTATAAAACACTGGACATACCATATCATAATTAATGTTATTTTATGGTTAATTACTATAATTATTGGTGACGGTACCTAAGGAGGAGCAAAACTGGGAATAAAATATATCAGTCATTAAAGTTTATACAGTACTTTGGAAGTAAGTGGGCTTAATGATTCATCTGTGAGAAAACACTTTTGCATTCCCCTACCAAAAGCAAAAACAAAAATAGCACTGAGAGAAAGGAATAAAACCCAGGTAGATGAATCGAACACCAACTGGTATCTTTGAGATAAAATGGAAAGCATAAGGCAGATCTTTGTTCTGTTGCGACCAGGGAAGCGTAGCAGGTTTGGTAGAGTGTGGAAGTCAACCAGCCATCCCCAGGGAAGGGCACAATTAAAGTTCAGGGCCGCAGACCCTTCCCTGTGTAGGGTGAGGATGGAGAACACTAACTACGGTCAGGATGTCTGGGTTCCAATCTACCTCTGTCCCTTAATGTTTGTGGGACCTTCTGCATGTTACTTTACCTTTCTGTGCCTCGGTTTCCTCACCTGCAAAATGGGGTGAATCAAAAGCACCTTCCTCAGAGAATTGCTATTATCATCATCACTGTTGCATGACAGGGTCTATAGTATGTCTAATATCAAATCCTGCCAGTAACACTGTCAGGGAAGGAGCAGTTCCCATTTTATTGATGAGAACACTGAGGCTTACAGAGAGAACTTTATTTGCCCAGGGTCCAATAACTGGAGAAGACTGGGTTCAAATTCAGTTCTGTCTGATACTAATACCCTTATGCTTATGTAGTGTGCGTGACCTTGGCCAGCTTACTTCACCTCTCCAAGCCTCAGTGCCTTATTTATAAACCGGAGATAAGCAATGCTTGCTGCAAAGAACTGTTGCAAGGATTCATTGAGCAGTGAGCAAAGAGCTTAGCACAGTGCCCACCTGGCATCTCAATTCCCTTCCTCCTTCATAGCGTCTGCCTGTCTTCCTTCTCTCCTGTCTTCCTTCTTTCCTTTCCCCTCCTCCGGTAGAGCCTGTCGTGCACCCATAAAACTGAATGGCACTGCTGCGGTTTGCTTTGTCCCCACCAAAACTCAGGTTGAAATTCGATCCCCAGTGAGACGCTGTTGGGAGGTGTTTGAGTCATGGGGGGAGACCTTCATGAATGGCTTGATGTGGTGGGGAGTGAGTTCTCGCTCTGGTGAGACCGGATTCTTTCTTGTGGGAATGGATTACTTCCCAAAAGAATGGGTTGTTATAAAGCCAGGATGCCGCTTGGATTGTTTGTTTGTTTTTTAACAATAAAAACACCTGTCCACTTTGCACATGTCCACTTCCCCTTCGACCTTCTCTGCCAGGTTATGATGCAGCATAAAAGCCCTCACCAGAAGCCAAGGCCGTGCCCTTGAACTTCCCAGCCCGCTGAACCATGAGCTAAATAAACCTCTTTTTTTTTTTTTTTAATAAATTACTGAGTCTCAGATATTCTGTTAGAGCAACACAAAAAGGACTGAGACAGGGACCTTAATGATGCTCCCAGCCAATCTTGTCATTTAACCCTCAAGGGAACTGAGGCTCAGAGAGGTTAAGAGATCTATGTGAGGTCACACAGCAGGTTAGTAGCAGATTCAGGGAAAGGACACGGATGTCTGACTGCTGGTTCAGCGCTCTTTCTACATGTGCTATTTACAAGCCTCCTGCGTAGAAGGAGCTACTGAGGGCCTAGCTGGAAGTGAGCATCTTGACTTTCTGAACCCTCCCCCCAGCCTCATATTCCTGAAGCCCAATCTGGAGACCCTGGACTTCTTCGACCTGCTGTGGATCGTGGGCATTGCAGACTTCGTGCTGAAGTACATCACCATTGCCCTCAAGTGCCTCGTCGTGGCCCTGCCGAAGATCATCCTGGCCGTCAAGTCCAAGGTAGGTAGGCACTGGCTGCAGCCACCGGTACCCCCAATCTCAGGGCGCCTCCTGGAGGAGGAAAGCATGGGCGAGGGCAGGGCTGATATCAGCGCGGAAAAATCAACAGAGCCTGGGCGCCTGCCACCCGCCTCTTACAATTCCTTGAAGTTGAGTGTTGCTCTGTGTTGTCACCGCCTGCTTGTCACACCTCCACCCTCCAAGTACATTCTTGCTGAGTTACGTTGTTTCAGAGCTCCCCGTGATGCAATTTTCATCTGCATTTCACCTGGGAGAGGAAAACAAACGTGGGCGTGCTCTGGGTCCTGCGTCTCCCAGGGAAGGATGGCCCTCATAGGTTTTTACTCTTGGTGGCTTCCAGGAGCTCGTCGTGTAATGGGGACCAAGGCTCGGTGACCGATTAGTGACGTGTGCCGTGGACTCGGGAGGGGAGTGGTAGCAATGATGCTTTGCTGTGTGCTGTAGGGAAAGACCCACAGGCCGGTGTTGGAGTGAAGAGGTCTTGGGAATAGCCAGTGGAATTCAGAGGACCGAGTGGGGCTAGGACAAGACGTCACCTGTAGGATGTAATGATTGCCAGTGGCTCTGTAAGGTGACTCGAAGGGAATTGGGACCAAAGCAGACGGACTAAAGAATCCCTGGTCTCATGTTCTCCATTCTGTAAAAACAGCCCTCTCGCAAGTTCAGAAAGCTCAGACTTTGTGCCAGGCACTGCTCGGCAGCAGAGCCGGTTGGCATTGACCATCGGTACTGAGTGGCGACCGACCCCACCCATGAGCCAGGGCAATCTCCGAGCCCATTTTTGTCCCCCGACCCCTCATTCTTACTCCCCTCCCCAACTGTGTGATTCATCTGCTTGAGCCAAAATCCTAGGCTGTTGGGGTTTTCTCAAATGAAGCTGCAGCTATGGTGCCCAAAGGCAGTGCTAGGAAGTACAAAATGGCATAGAGACAAAAATTTTAAAAAGAGACAGAGACATGGAGAAGAAAAGCAAGAGAGGGAATAGTAGACCTAAAGAAGTCCTAAGGGTCTGTGTGGTGGCTCACTCCTGTAATCCCAACACTTTGGGAGGCCGAGGCAGGAGGATCACATGAGGCCAGGAGTTCGAGACCAGCCTGGGCAACATAGGGAGACCCTGTGTCTATAAAAAAATAAAAATTAGCTGGACATGGTGGTGTACGCCTGTAGTCCCAGCTACTCGAGAGGCTGAGGCAGGAGGATTGCTTGAGCCCAGGAGTTCAAGGTTACAGTGAGCTGCGATCGTGCCACTGCACTGCAGCCTGGGCAACAGAGCAAGACCTCATCTCTAAAAAAAAAAAGTCCTAAGATGCCTCCTCCCCTTTACCCTTCCCAAGACCATGATATCCATGACTGCTTGCCCATGGAGCTCTTCTCCCCCTACCACTACTACCACCCACCCCTCAAGGTAGGCACTCTTATCCCCATTTTACAGACAGAAACATTGAGGCTCAGTGATCCCCCCGTGGACACTTGTTAGAGCCAGGATTTGAACTCAGGTCTGCCTGATGCCCAACCCAGGGTTTTCTCCTAGCTGTCTAATCTCTGAGGATCCTGGCCAGGTGATTGTTTTCATAGCTTGATTTGCCCTTCACTGGCTTCATGTTGTAGGACTAAGAACCCCAGGGAGGGTCCAAGAGCTATACTGTTGGCTTCCTTGGAATCAGCTGTGCCCCAAGGGGCCAGGTCCTGCCAGGGAACGCGGGTCTCAGCCACTTGTGGACACAAGGCACATCACCCTCTCTTGAGCAATAATGTCCTTCCCTGCACCCAGCTAGAGCCAAGACCTGACCCCAGCAGCCCAGGCTGGGGAGGAGCTTGGGCCGCAGCCAGCACTGAGATGTGTTGGTGTCCTTCCCCCCCTCACCTAAGCACCTGTCGGCTGCTGGATTTTCATTGGCTCTTCACAGCCAGCTGGGTCAGACGGAGAGGTAGGACAGGCAGAGCCCACTCGGTGGTTGGTGCGAAATGACACTTGAGAGCAGATTGTTCTAATTAGGACGAAGAATAACAACTGAAATAGCAAACGCTTGCGGGACACTTACCCACCTCTGACATGAAGACGTAGAAATCCACACGCAAAGCAGTGCTCACTT